AATTTAATTTGACAATAGTTTCATTTTCCACAACAACCTCTTTTGTAACTTCTTTCACAATTTTCGATTTTTCAACCCATTTGCGTTGTGGTTTTTGTCTTTGAAAAACATATGAATTCTTTGTTAGATTATTTTTGACAGTGCTTTGATTTGAAAAGAATCATTCGTCTGTTGTCTTCTTGTTGTCATCTTCGACCATTTTGTTGAATTCTGGTTTAATGTTCTCAACATTTCCAGTAGTAACAAACACTTGATTTGGAAAGACAACATCATCAGTACACTTGAAATTAGGATACACCACTTGATTTGTTTCCAAATAATGGGCTCCTTTTTCAGATCACACTTTGTCGAAATTTTCAGTGTCTCCAAGCACTTGATCAACAACAACACGGGGAATTTCAGTTTCTTTCGAATCTTTGTTTGATGAGACCTTTTTGTCCAAATTGTCATCATCATTTTCATCATCACTGCTATCCGTTTGACTATCTCGGATATCCACAAACTCAGAATCACAAACTTTTGAAGTTGAAGGTTTGTCAGTGTCAATCTTAACCATCAAATCCTTAAGTTTTTCTTTTCCTTTAGATTTTGATGCAACATTATTGACAAACAACTGAGAACAATCAACATCCTCAATTTTACTAATTTCGCTAATAGTGTCAGAGTTATCTTCGATATCGGCAAAATTAGATTGAGAATCAGATGTTGAGTTCTCAGTCTTTTTCAAAATTTTGATTTGTTCTGATTTTGTCAAAGTATCATTCACAATGTTAACTAATTCATTTGAATCAATACATTCGTCAATTTTGACAATTCCATAATTATATCTATCATCTGGAACTTTGTCAAACTCAACAATATTTTTCTCACAATCATACGAAATATTATCAACCTTCGCTCTCTCATATGCTAGAAAAGGTAATAATTTTCTATGTTGTTCCTTGCTAATATCACATTAATGATGCAATGCAGTTAATTTGCCATATAGACGTTTAGCAGAATTGCAGTAGATATTTCGTTGAGCTAACAAAAATTTTACATCACTAGATAACGAATCTCGATCACACATTATGTTTGTTATTTGCAATTCTAAACATTCTATCTTGACAACTTTCGAATCTAACTTCTTCTGTGTCTCTAACAACTGATTGCTTAATTTCTTAGCTTCATTGCTAGCATAAACAACCAAATTATCGAAATAAGCAACAGTATCATCAAAAGCAACAATTTCAGAATCATATGCACTTAAAGGAATATTGAAAGATTGAAGAATATTACGTACCTTTGTTGTCATTGGAGACTTATCAGCGGATTTTGACACAAAGCAACGACCCTTGACCTCTTCGTCTGAATCTTCCTCCAGCTTCGCATACATTGCCCCATGCGTAGGATTACGCATTTCCTCATCATCGGAGCCCGAAGACCAGATTCGATATGTGCCATCATTCTCCTGTTCTCCTTGAGCCACCAAAGACAAATTTTTCGCCTTCGTACGTACCTCTTCCAACCTTTCCACATAATACGCTTCATCCTTCACTCTATTCTTCTTCTCATCTTTCTTTCGAAGCATGCAATCATTTGCTAGATGATTGGATCCATTGCAGTAATGACAATCCATACCAGAATCTCCTTTTAATTTCTTCTCTTTCTTCTCCTCTAAGACAATCAAATGCCTTCAACCTATTCGAAACTTCATTCTCAGTGTCAAAAATATATAGCTGCAAAAACCTAGGGTCATTGGTGTCCTTTGGACATAATGAACCTATCAAATGACAAATCTGACCGAAAATCTTAAATACATATGGACCACGACCATTATTAAGGTTCTCATCAATATTAGCTCCAAAAGACGTTAAGGAAAACATGTTATTATATGCTTTAATATCACCCAAAAAACGAACATTCATATAAAGATAAAGGATTTCAGGGGGTGGTCTATTAGGATAAGGAAGCACAACAGAACTAGACTTACATCATTGAGTATACCTAGGATGATTAGAATGAGAGAGGGTTACAATCCTTTCAATAGACCAAAATAATGCCCCACAGAACTCACAAATGCAAACGCAACCCCCACAATCATAGTAAAAAGGTATAATATAGGCATTAAAAGTAGTCAACGACCAATGCCTGTGAGCTTGGCATAGAAAAGTAGCAACAGATTCAAAAGAAGATAAAGCACATTCTGGCACCTTTTGCTTACCATGTTTGTGTAACGTCCTGTTCCGAATCGTTTCCTAATACGGAGTGGTGACCGAAGAATCGGGTATCATCAGGCTTATGGCCTTTGAGGAAAAGAGATTTAGACCCATTTAGGTGTAGGTAATGTGATTTAGATGATCCAGGTGTTGGTTGGTGTTTTGGAGCCAAGGGGTATTTCGGTAAAGTGTCAGTTTGGGCTTTTATGAAATTGGATTTTTGTTCGGGAAGTTTTAAGGAAAGTATGAGTTTATAGAAGTGTAGAGCTTCTCGTTACCTTTTCGTGGATATAAGGATCGTCAGAAACAGACTTATAACGAAGAAGTTATGGCCTTCAGAAGTTTGGTGATTTTAGGGTGTAATCGAGTACGCGGGGAGTATACATGTGTACGCATGGCGTACTAATGAGAAGGCCGGTACACTGGACGTACAATGGTGTACGTTGGGCATACTAATCAGTATGATCGCATGTGTTCTAGGGAGTACGTTGGGCGTACCAGAAGTACGTTGAGCGTAGTATTTCATGCTTTTTGGTGTTCATAGAAGAAGAGGGAACTTCTTGGAGAAGTGTGGGATTGCTTGAAGCTTTTAGATCCACGCTTGTCGTATTTTGATCTACATTTTGGAGGTATAAAGTTTCTATCTTGATGAATCTATGTGTTAGATCTAGTTTAAGGAGCATTTTGGGGTTCTTCTGGTCCTTAGAGTCATCCTTGTGAGTATGAGCTACTCTAAGAGCTTAGAATGTTGGATCTTGGCCTTTGGGAGGTCCCTTATTCATAAAGATGTCATCTTGATGAGTTATTGTGGTGCATGCATGAGTTTGGGTGATTATTTTGGATTGTTTTAAGGTTTTAGTCCCATTAAGCCTTGTAAAGGAGTAATGTTGCCAACTTTACATGTTAAGACATCTCATTAGGGTCATATCCAAGTTTGGAAGTCATTGTCTTAACCATTAAGAGCTTATTTTGGATTTTTGGACCCTGGAGGAGTACGTTGGGCGTACGCAAGTGTACGCTCAGCGTAATGCTGATTTTGTGCATCAGTGACTTGTACTCTGTGCTTCGAGGGTGAGTACGCTAGGCGTACCATTCTGGTATGCGGGGCGTACTCCCCAGTTTGCCATTTTGGGCTTTTTGAGACTTGGGCCTTGTTGGGTCATTGGACTTTGGACTGTGGGCCATGGATGGACTTAGGGTTTTCTTAGAAGTAGGTCCATGATGGTTTTGGGGCCCAATCAGGTTATTGGGCCATAATGGGCTTTTGTTGCTTTTGATTTGGGCTTTGGATTACCATTTTGGGTTTTGGGCTGGGCCTTGGTTATAGAACAAGTAAGAAAAGGGTAAAAATGTTCGGCGGTCCGAGCAGTTATTTGATTATCAACGGATTGATGTGAGCTTCCTCACTGTGTTTAGCGGGTCGAAGGCACCAATGCTGGCCCATGGTTTATTATGTTAGGATGCTAGATGTCTTCGTGACTCTTGCATGTGTTATGTGTTGGTATGCTTAGCGGGCAAGGCTCGATGTCGGGCGGGGCCCGATGACTGTACTATATGCTATTATATTTGTCATTATCGCATGTGTTTGTGTGATTATGTGTTTATATGTATATGTATACCGGGCGGGGCCTAATGACTGACATATCTGTATACCGAGCGGGGCTCGATGCTGGGCGAGGCTCGATGCCGGGCGGGGCCCATTATATGTTTGATATGTATGGTAGTGATAGGGCGTGAAATAGACCCGATATCCGGTTGAAATAGACCGAAGGGGATTGCAAGCACCCATATATGCTTGGCTGTATGTATGTATGGTATGTGGTATTTTGGGGAACTCACTAAGCTTTGTGCTTACGGTTTTAATGGTTATGGTTTCAGGAACTTCCGGTTCGAAAGGGAAGGACCCAACTTGATCGCAGCGCATCCACCCATGTTTTCACATCATGATGATTTTGGGATTGTACTATGATATCTGTTTTCTTATAAAAGTACTTTGCATATTTGAATAAGCAGATATTGAATGTTGACTTAAAGGTAATTAATGTTTTGGTTGAATTAAAAATGAAAATTTTACCTTAAATTTTTCCGGATATTACAACTTGGGCATAATGTAAGTTTCGATATAGAGGAAAAGGATTATCACAAACAACAAAAAAATAACCACTAAGAACCAAAATTAGAAGCAACAAATTAAAATTCGCAGGCAGAAAACATCGAAAAAACCCTAAACGACGAACATTAAAAAAGTAAACAATTACCTGGAGAAAACGAAAGAACATGGAAGAAGAACACAAAAGAAACAACGTCGAAGAATATCGGAGGATGAGTAAGCCAGTAGGACACATAAATAAAACATGTGTCCAGTGGAACGCAACGATCAATACAAGGGACTAAAAGTGCCAAGGAGTGAAAATTATGTGTCCAAAATAAAAAACGATCAATGCAAGGGAGTAAAAGTGCCAAGACATGAAAATTATGTGGCCAAATCATAAAGTCCAAATCTCTATTGTCCATAAGGGGAACTTGAAATTAATGATATATATGTAATATGAATATTGAAAAAGAACAAAATTTTATCATTAAGGGGAGTATATAGTCGTTTTATGTTTAATACTGAATAAACGCGAAACAAAAGCAAACACATGGATGATCCGATTGAAAAAAAGTTAAGGAAAAAACCAACATATTACCCTAAACCACATGGACTATTCGTGTAATTTAAAGTTCATTGCCCGGCCCAGTTGAAGGCCCATTTCCAGCCCTAAAATCATGCTCATGCCTCATAATGAAGTCACAAAGTGACAAACACCTTGCTTCGCGTATGCCCTTGCCCCTTGCTTAAGAGAAACCCCCCTCTTCTGTGTTTTTGAAATTAGTCGGAAGAAATGGGAGGCAGAGGGAGGTCTAGAAGAACTCAAAGAAAGCATTTTCGTGATGGCAGAGAAAATGTCTGGAAAACCAAGAAATCTGATTCTCAAGAAGCCGAGGGAAGCAACAACAACAACGAAAACGATTCCAATGGAAACAACACTAACAAACCCACTCACTGGCAGCCATTTGCTATTGAGAACGCTGCTTTTGATGAGTACTACAAGGTACTTATTCGTTAGTTATAATACAAGGTAGTGGATTCTTCAGTGCATGTTGCATCATCTAAAAATGAATTTTGTAGGAGCAAGGGGTGGTGCGTCCGGAGGAGTGGGGCTCTTTCATCGAGTGTCTAAGGAAGCCACTTCCTGCTGCTTTCAGGATCAATTCTAGGTAAATTTGTGTTTTGGATTCGTATTCATTTCATAGTCTTTGTTTTACTGAAGTAGTCTTTGGTTCGTAAAATTGAATAATGCCTGTCGTATGCGGAAAAGAACTTGTTATCGCTTCAATGACAAGTTTTCTCCATTAGAGGGCCAAAAATTAGAGATCATTTTCATTGAAACTGCATCCTATTGCTGCTATGGGCATTCTAATTGAAACTGCAATAGCTGCTACTAGATGGATGCAGGTATAGTGGGGGTTTTGTGAGTGCAACTACTTGCTATTTCATGGTATTGGTAATTGGTTATTGTATTACAAACTCACTGTTAGATATATTTATTTACCAAAGGCCTAATGGTTTGGTCAGATGTCTTCTCCCTAAGAGGTAGAGTTGTCTGGGACATAGATGGAAGTTAGGAGTATGAAATTTTCATGGGAAGGTAGAAATAGATAACAGATAATCTATCACCATGTCAATATGTTTTTAGATTGTGCAAAATAAAAACTAAAACAAGGTTGAAATTAAGTACACTGAAAGTGAGTGGACATGGTACTATGGTAGACATTGTGGTGTTGTTTGGTTTTTACCTTAATGGACTTAATGTGGACACGAATATATATAGGTGTTCTTTTTTGGCTAATGCGAAAAGAACGGCTTAATAGCGAAAGTTAATGAATAGAAGCTTTCCCGTTCATTCTTTTAACTTTCTACAAATTTATGTTTGCTTTCTATTTTCCCAAGTGTGTGTGTGTGTGTGTGTCATCATCTTTTTAAATATTTATGAAACATCATTTATCCGAATCTGGACACAGTACTTCATCAACACATCACTTAATGGAAAAAAAGAACAAGGACTATATGTTATTTTATGTTGAATTTTGAACAAGAACACCACACAGTGACATTGTGTTTTTTACAGTAGACATGAGTTCAAATTTCAATTTCGTTTCGTTTCGTGTATTTTGTATGGATTGACAACCGTAGTTGTAAGGGCTATTGATCGGCTATAAAATGATTTGTCATACATACCAAATAATGATTCAAAGCATAAATGATATCTGTAGACATTAATATAATTGAAGAGAGGGTAATCTTACAATTTTGATATTCTTTTTCTCAAGTTGTTGATCTTGGTGTGGAAAGCTAACTAAAGAATTCTACTTCCCTCCTTAAGCCATACACCATAACCCCTAAGGCCCTTTGTTTTTTTTATGAGACTACAATCATCTTGATGATTTCTATTTATAACATCTCTTATACAATTTTGCAGTAGCCAGTTCTGTACAGATCTTAGGTCACAGCTGGAAGATGAGTTTATGAAAGCTCTTCTGGCAGAGGTGCATTTCAATTTGCTATAATATTATTACCTTTTCAAAAGCATGTAATGTTGATTTACCCTTGAGGAAATAGTTGTTTTTTGAATAGTTTGCATCACTTTATAAAAATCTGTCAGGGTACAGATGGGAATGAAGCAGAGGGCATAAAACCATTGCCTTGGTATCCCAATAATTTTGCTTGGATGTCAAGTTTTTCAAGGATGCAGCTGAGAAAGAACAAGAATCTTGAGAGGTGATTGAGTAATAAATGTAGTTATTGTTCTCAACTTGTCAATATTGTGTATTGGAGATGAGTGAAAGTGAAATAAAATGTTGAAACGATTAAATTAACAGTTACTGCAGCATTGCTTTACCTTAGTTTGTGCAGATCCTTATGTAGTGTTTGGTATAAATGAACAAAAGCTGTTTGTTTTGCTTGATGAAATATTGGAATGGACCATTATTGATGCCCTTCATTTTGCTAATTGTTATGCCTTAGACCAACTCCCATGGAACACTAAAACACCATTTTAGAGACCAAAAAAGTGGCTATTTCATTCCTACCAACCTCTAAAAATCACCAATTTAGTGTATGGGATGGCTTCACAAACAAATATCTAGGCCAATATACATGGGCCCATGGCCACTAAAAATCACCATTATAGTGTTTTGACATTGGACTTGATCTCAGGCCGTTTTTTTTTTTTAATCTTGAAATGGAATGAGAAATTGCAATATCACCCATTTATATTTATGCCCTTTTAATGTCCTTTACATTATCATATAATCGTAGGATAGATTTATTGTTATAATTTTATTTGGGTTTCAATAAGTTTTCATATTTTCTTACCATTCCATGTTTTCTGAATCAACCTTTCAGGTTTCATGAGTTCTTAAAGCAAGAAAATGAAATTGGAAACATTACAAGACAGGAGGCTGTTAGCATGGTGCACAAACTTTTATTCTATAATAATCTAAGTTTTGTTGGTGCAATATGCAGTTTTTGTAATCTAATATTGATTTGCACTCACACAGGTACCTCCATTGTTCCTGGACGTACACCGAGACCATTTTGTTCTTGACAGTAAGTTATTGTCCTTGAAAGTTGAAACTAGTGCAAGAGTCTACTTTTTCTCCAAAAAAGTATCACATATGCATGTATAAACAAACTTGTTATATTATACGTATGTATGCTTTTGAAATAGTACTGAATGGAAGAAAACTTTTCATTTTGTTCTATTACGTCATTGTACATATAGTATGTATCATAATAATTATAGCATTGTAGTCCATTTGTTTTTTATTAGAATAAAATAATTGATTGATTTTGTGCAGTGTGTGCTGCTCCGGGCTCAAAAACTTTTCAATTACTTGAAATGATACACCAGGAATCAGAAGTGGGAGCATTACCTAATGGAATGGTTATATTTCTCTCTTGATTTTTTTTTGTTTGTATATGGAAAAGGGTATGATTGTGATTTTTGATGGATTCATTAGGTTATAGCAAATGATGTGGATGTACAACGATGCAATCTTCTTATTCACCAAACAAAGAGAATGTGCACTTCTAACTTGGCTGTGACGAATCATGAAGCCCAACATTTCCCGAGTTGTCGCTGGAAAAAGAATAATACCACAAATGGTTCTGATTTGGCGGGTATGAGTATGACTGAACTTTTATTTGATCGTGTGCTCTGTGATGTTCCATGCAGTGGAGATGGTACTCTCCGTAAGGCCCCTGATATTTGGAGAAAATGGTAAATTCCTTTTCTACCCCTCATACACATGAGTATTGGTAGTGTAGAGTGGCTGAATGGGTAATTATGTCGGTCTCCAGATAAAATAAAATGTTACCAACAAGACTAAATGCGCATTTTACCCTTACTTTATAACAATATTCATTAAGTTTGAAGGGAAAATAGGTAAGCTTATGTCCAGATTAAACGGAGCTGTTAACTCATTAAGCCAATTGTGTCTGAGATTAAGAAGAGATTATAACAGTCTGATGTGATTGTGAGTTGTGACAAATTTAATGAAAGGATATCTGATTGCCTTGCCTTGTATTTCTTTGTGAAATGCAGGAGTGTGGGGATGGCCAATGGTGTCCATTGTCTACAACTTCAGATAGCCATGCGAGGTTTGTTAAAGTTATTAATAATTGTTATAAATAATATACACCTTTATATGTTATAATGGGGTTGTAACTGGATTTGAATTCTTTTTCTTTCCAAGAAAAGAATAGTAACAAAACTTTTTCTCCTCCTGATCTTTTCAGGTTTGGCATTGCTTAAAACTGGTGGAAGAATGGTTTACTCAACATGCTCTATGAATCCAGTTGAAAATGAGGCCGTAGTGTCTGAGGTATTTTTAACAAGTTTGTTTCTTAGACTCTTTTAGGTTATTAGGCTAAATTAAGCTTATAATAAGAGAAAAGGGAAAATTTTAACTTTTCTCATAGTCTCATTTATTGACATCTAATCTACTATGTGCCTTCATTCATGTTCTCAAGTCTCAACCCTCTTCTCTTCTCTTATCTTCCATGAGTGTGTGTGTGTGTGTGTGTGGACATGGACACTAAATCCATATTGGTTTGTGTATTTCAGATATTACGAAAGTGCGGAGGCTCTGTTGAGCTTGTTGATGTATCTTCGGAACTCCCTCAGCTTGTTCGCAGACCAGGCCTTAAGAGTTGGAAGGTTTGTCTCTACTTCTTTGTTTTACTGCCACTTTTTTAGCTTTACCTGATTTCTACTTGCATATAATTTTTATTTTCTAACTTTGGTATTTCAGAATTCAATCTGTAAGTTAAAGCAACGTAGGAGGGCCTTTAATTGTTTTCTCATCTTTTTTTTTTCTTTATTTGATGAAATACACCAAAATTTATTTATAAAATAAGATATGACCAAGTGTTTGGAGGTTGCAGTTGATCCAACTTGTTCAATAATGATTGAGTTTCCATCGTTACAACTTTTATGTACATAAACAAAGGGCAGTTGCAGCCTACTTTAATCCTTTTACCAGTATAGACAACGTACTCTTTTACACCCAAGCAATTTACTTACCCATACCAACACCCAACTGAAAAATACTTGCTCATAAAAGCAATGTGCCTGCATTTCTTTACCAATAATACCAATATGAAAAACAAAACTTGTAAACATTTTACCAGTTTTAGGTTATATATATATGTTGCAATTATTGGTAAAATAATATAAATATGCTGCTATTATGGGTGAAAGGAAAGTACATTGTCTGTATTGTAGACGAGAGCAAAGTTCGTATGCTGCTCTTTCATGCAAACAGACAGATGCAGCAGGTATATGTAAGATTCAGTAAAACAATGTTCAAATTTTTGGTACCATGACGACATAACTCTTATTTGCTGTTTTTTTACTCAATTAACTTAGTAGGGACAAGATTGAATCCGGTAAGCTGTATATGGGTGTTTTTTTTTGACTTGATATAGAATAAACAACTTTATAGAGAAAGTTAGAAAAAAAGAAACTATCCTCGTTATGTCTCTACTTTTTACTAAATTTGCTCTCATTTATTTATTTTTCTTCCATCTTCACAAAGGGAGCTTAAGATTTTTGAACATTCTAAACGTTCATTTAGTGATTATATTTGGCTATTCAGGCAGTATAACCTGTTCTGGTCTGTTTCTTTTATTTAAGTATATGTAGGTTTCTATTACTGATTTGAATCGGCATTTTTGAATTTGTTTATTTATTGGAAATGGAAATGGAAATGCAGGTTCGAGACAAAGGCACGTGGTTAGGTTCTCATAAAGATGCATGCAAATATGGAAGATCTGGGATTGTTCCTAGCATGTTTCCTTCTGGCCAACCCCATGTTGACACATCATCGGATGATAATAATAATAATGATAATGATAATGATGATGTTTTGGTGACCGAAGTTTCATCTCTTCCTTTAGAGCGTTGCATGCGCATTGCCCCTCATGACCAGAACAGTGGAGCCTTTTTTATTGCTGTTTTGCACAAAATATCTCCTTTGCCAGGTCATTTTCTATAATTCCTTCACTTTCCAACATTTAATAATCCAAGTTGGAATGGAATGGAATCAAAACCTCATGTTTGTTTTCTAGTGGTTCCTTTGGTTTTTCATCCCATGTGGGAGGGGTTTTATTTTTCTATACCTTGATGAAAAGGAGTGATTTTTTTATAATAATAAATTATTATTATTATTCTTTACATCAATCATCTTTAGCAGCACCAATGCTCTTAAAGAAGTTCAAAACTTTAGTTTATATTTTCTTTTTCTTATTAAAAAAGTAATCAATGTTTTTTAATCATATTTCTAAATGTCTTTTTTTATTTATTTAATTTTGTAAATAATATTTTAAAGTGATAAATAAACTTTTTGACCATCCAAACTCCAAAATACATATATAATAAATAATATATACGTCAAATGAAATTTAAATATATATATATATATATATATATATATATATATATATATTATATGTAAGTTTTATGAAATATAATTTCATTGAAATTTCTAATCATGCATAGAAATAGAATCATTAATTATACTCCTTTAAGCCAACGAAACATGATAATAGAAGGTAACGACTTGTTCCATTCCATCATGTGCAGTGATACAGACGAAATCAAGCAAACATTCCCGATGTGATGAAAAATCCAAACAATCAGAAGATATCAAGGCAATGGATGTCGATGTGAAAAATGAAGAATCCGATGAAGCGACTAACCCAAGCAAAAAACTTAAAGGAACCGAGCCTGAGAAAACTGAAACCCTAAATAACCCAAAATCTCGTGCAGAAAAGGCTAATGACAAGAGAAAATTGCAAATTCAAGGCAAGTGGTTTGGGGTTGACCCTGTTGTTTTCTTTAAAGATGATGCTATTCTCACTAATATCAAGGAATTTTACGGAATTCATGAATCCTTTTCGTTTACTCATCGGCTTATCACTCGGAATATTGATACAAATCACGTGAAGAGAATTTACTATGTATCCGAATCTGTCAAGAATGTTGTTGAACTCAATTTCTTAGCTGGCGAGCAACTCAAGATAACTTCAATTGGTTTGAAGATGTTTGTAAGTTGTTTTTCGCCTTCCTTTTTTAAACTCAACATAGACTGCTTTTGTAATTTGTTACATGGGATTGGATTGGACTAGACAAACTTTTTAGGGCCTTTTTGGGCGATACAAAAAATTGCAATTATTGGAACATTGACATCAGCCTTGGTTCCGGTCTCGCTACAACCTGTTTGCAGATTCCAATGTCACTGAAATTCGAGATTCCATTCCATTCCACACTATGTATGGTATGGTATGGTGTGTTTGATATCATTGCCAAATGGGACGGACTGAATCCTTCAAATTCCTTTTTTGATGGGAGATCCTTTTTTTCCTAGGAGAGGATGGAAGGAATTTAATTTGATTCTTCACTAGGTGTAAGACCCATGTATTACATGGGTTTATTTAAAAGAAAAACTAAATACAAAATTCTAAACATTTGAGAAGTTGAAAAGTGAGAAAATATTGAATTATAAAAATTAAAGTGTTTTTTTTTGCTTTTTTAAATTTAAACAAATAAATTAGATAAATAAATAAAGAAAATTAATGAATCTTTAATTTAGTAATTTTAAAATTAGAAGTAAAGTTCATTAATGAAATTGATATGCATTTAAATACTATCTAGAATTTAATAAAATGAAAAAAAACCATAAAATGACATGTGGAATAAAAATTAATTTAAAATAACCACAAAATTACATGTGGCAAAATAAATGAGAATGTGACATGTGGCAAAAAGATCTTTATTTATTAGGGAGGATTTTTCTATTAAAAAACCAAAATACCCTTATATATATATATATATATATATATATATATATATATATATATATATATATATATAGCAAACAAAAGATTTGTAAACAAACACATGAAAAAAATTGATTTTTGGGCTTATTATTCAGGAAAGGCAAACATCAAGAGAAGGCACTTCCTCACCTTGTGTATTCAGAATATCTTCAGAAGGGTTGCCATTGCTTCTTCCACACATGACCAAACAGATAACTTCTTCACCTGCTGTAGATTTCAAGCATTTACTGCAATACAAATCTATCAAATTCCCTGATATTGTCGATGATCGATTTCGTGAAAAAGTTGCAGTCCTTGCTTTGGGCTGTTGTGTGGTGGTCCTCAACACAGGTTTGTTCTTCCAATGTTTTTTTTTACTTAATGTATTTATTATTTAATGGGGATGAAAAACATTTTACAAAAATGACTGGCACACAAGGGAAATTGGAAGGAAAAAGATAAGCCAAGGCAAGTTTGGAAATATAAAAGTTAATGGAGAAAGCCTCATTTCTTGATTTTTGTGGTTAAGCTGTTCTATCTGCATTAAGTCAAAGAAATACCCATATAATGTACTGAATCAAGTTTTGTCCCTATTAAATAATAAGTAATAATGAAACTTGAGTGTACCTTTCTGACTTAACGCAAATAAAGGTATATATATGACTTGTTACAGAAAGTCAGGGAAAGAACACTTTTCTTGTTAAATTTGAACTTTTTCCAAAATTGCTCTCATGTTGCATGCCTTAATACTCAGTCCTTGCTGTTTATTTTTGGCTAAATCTGATTACAACATTGTACTGTAAAAAATTTACCCAATTAAACCATTGTCATCCGAACACAAAGCAATTTTCAGTTGGGTAGAATATTCAAAGTACAACATACTAATAAGGAAAAAAAGTAAAAGTACAGTGTTATAGTTAATTACAGTTTTTTCAAAGTACAATGTCTTAATAAAAAAAGGGAATACAGTGTCGTAAAAGAAATGCATGACATAATGATGCTATAACAAACGTTGTAGTTTGAAAAGTCCACCCAATTATAATTTATAGCAATGCCATCCAATTACAAAGCAATTCTCATTGCTGTATTGGGTAGAATGTAGATCTTTCAAAGTACATTATCATAATGAGAAAAAAAAATGAAAGCAAATTGCTATAATTGATTAGATTTTTTCGAATAGGAAAAAAATACTTTTAAAAAAACCATGAAGGAATGATGCTATGATAAACATTGTAGTGAGAAAAATCTACCCAATTATCCAAATACAAAGCAATTCTTCACAGCTATATTGGGTTTGGATATAGATTGTCAAAAGTACCTACTATGAAAAGGAAGTTAAAAGCACAAAGTTATAGTATAATTAATAAGAGTGATATAATAGAAAAAAATGAAAGTACGTTGCTATTTCTTGCTTTTAGCTTTGTTTTTTTTGCATGGCAGGTAACGAAAATGAAGGCGAAGGCGCATCGGATCGGCCTAAAGTGGATAAGTCGACAATTGCAATTGGTTGTTGGAAAGGACGGTCGAGTTTATCAGTGATGGTGACAGCTGTAGACTGTCAGGAATTGTTGGAAAGGTTATTGATTCGGTCCTGAGACCCAAAAGGAATCTTTGGCTGAAGATGCAATAAAAGTGAAGGAAACTGTAACAGTTGGTTGAAGTTGAAGTTGAAGTTGAACTAAAAAAATGTAGGATCAGGATCGATTATGTTGGTAATGCTATTAAGCTAAACAATTTTAAAGCTATTTGTTTCAACGAGTGAAATGCAAAAAGCAGAAGCACAACATTTTTGATTGTTTCACCAGAAATATTACTTTGCTTCATATAGGTGATATAAGATATTAAATCTGCCGTGTGGTATGGCCAAAGACCAAAGTTAGGGATCCTGTCCTTAAAACTATCTTTTTTACTTCAACTGTCATAATTGCTTCTTTTTATCTGTGTATTGCACAGACGGTCCTCAAGTTTAATGCCGTTAGTAATTTGATGTTGTATGGATGTGAAATCACAATTTTCTTCTTTTATATATAACATTATACATTACATGTGAGACCTATGTACTATATATGTTGATTAAAAAATAATTACATATTAAGATGTAAACATTAAATATTTTACAGCTGATAAAATAATTCATCAAAAGTCATTACTTGATCATAATGACCTTTAAGAAGGGACAAAATGTGCAGCTAACACTCAAGGAATTCATACAACTTGTTGAAACAACTTATGATGAATTCAAGCTACCATGTTAACACATAATAGTACAACAGCCTTGCCTTAAGAAAATACTTAAACATTAATAAATTTAACAACAAAGCAACCACAAAGACCCATGAATTTGTAAGAATTCACCAACACCCATCCATGAACAATAAACAAAGCCTTCAAAGATCGACATATATACTTCTTGCTTGATTGAGTAGCTATTTTTTAATTCTTAAAGTAAAACAACTAGCATTATATACATGTAATTTATATGATTCAAACAAAATGAATTATATATAATCAAAATGTATAAATATAAAAATTTATAATCTAATTACTTATTCATGTTTCTTTACAATATTTCATTTGAGTGTATGTCTAAATGAATGGTTATTTCTCATTGTGTATATGCAAAGTCTGTATTGGTTGTATAACTGTGTTTGAATGTGTATAATCGAAGTCTGTATTTGCTGTGTAATTCTTTATGAATTGTTTGGTGGTTGTGTAAATTTTCGCTACACTTCTGATTGAGCATTATTTTGTTTGTTCATGGCATCGGATTAAATGATGTTTATTTATAGTTTCATATATATTAAAAGATGATTATTCTCTTTGGACTTTATTTAGTAAACAAGTATCCATTGGGTTCACCGTATATGACAATTAGTTTTTTACTCGAATCAGTCGGGGAGGGGGTAAGGATGGGTGTGCGGATTGGAGTTCGGGTATGGGGACGAGCATTGCAGTCCCCGCTAATCTCTGCCCCCATTTGCATCTCCAATATTAATGGATACAAGTCGACGTTTGTCAATATGGCCCGTAGAGAAACGAGTTAATGTCAATATATATATATAAATGTAGGCCCCACTAAAATTAAGACTAAAGTCTTAAAAAACAAGGAAATACAATCTTCACCTTTGATTAGTTTTTTAATTTTTCTATTGGTTATTCTACAGCGTTAGATATCAGGGAAAAAATTTTGGGCGGCATTAGGGCTTTGTTTAAAATTTGAAAAAAAAAGACATTTCATATTCACTCGGCCTCCACAAAAGAGATTTTGGGCGGCACTGATCTTCTCTCTCTCAAACGAAATCCATGGAAACCTGAAAACACCAACACGCACCGCCACCCAAATGCGCTGCATTGGACCACGATCTCTCCACCACTGCTGCTAGATCTGCATACACTCACCCACCATCGCTGCTAGATCCGTAAATCCCAAACTCTCATCGATATGGAAACCCTAAAACACCACCACCGAGGTCGTTCTCTCTCCGTCTTCGGCCTATTTCTTTTTCTCATATGAACAAAAGTTTTTTCGTTTGTTTCTTTCTTATTAGACCAAATCGCTATCTATAAACTGTTTTCTCTAACTTTGTTTGTATGTGTGTGTTTGAAGGTCTAGGTTCTCTCCGGTGAACAAATTGGTCCTATTAAATCTCAGGTTAGCTTTTTTTGTTTTTGGCTATCGCGGGTTGCACTTATTCCGAGTTGGTTCGATTTTTACGTTTTGGTATCTCAAGTTCGATTTTTTGTTTTTTATTCCCTGGTTATGTTCGATTTTTCACAGACGAAGAAATAAGGGAGACTCTTACTTGGCAGACCAAGAACAAAAGCAACAAAATTTTTCTTGCAAAGTCTCATAAAAAGATACTGGACCAATACTTGCAGAGATTATAGGTATGTACTACTTTTTTCATTTTTTCTCTTTAGTTTAATTAATAAGACTAATTATTCTTTTATTTGTGTTGGTTTGTGTGTTTATTAACATTCAAGCAGTGGTCAGATATTGATATGAGCAAAGTTCAATAAACTTTGAGAGATGTGGATGAAAGTTAATACCCCTCTTAGTCCAAACCTCATCCCACCTTAAGTATTGCTAAATTTACCCCTGCTGACTTGCAATCTGATGTGAGTATGAATGAAAAAAATTTCATGCAAGTGGGATGGGTAAAAATCTCCATCGCATATCTCTATTTCAAAAAGGAAAGATTTTGGCTTTTACGTGTTGTATGTGTATATATATGTTTGTGTGTTGTGTGTGTGTGTGTGTTTAATGAACATGCTTTGATAAGTTCATGTATGATGAAATGTAATTGTTACAGGAAATTAGATATAAGGGGCTTGATGGCCGATTAGCTAAAACCTTACCTGATGTGAACTTTGGTATCTATCGATGATAAACAAACCAAGTTGTGGTTGTTATAAGAGTATGATCAAATTTTATTTTTTAAGAATGGTATGAATTAAAGGTATAATAATTTCTATTGTTTCTTGGTTTCAGTATAGCAAAGTTGCTCATCTATACAAACAAAATATATGAGATTTATATGAAAAATAAAGATGTCTATACAAACAAAATATATGAGATTTATATGAAAAATAAAGATGTTAAATTTCTATCGTGTCATAATAATCTTGATTATGGGGCTGATTTGTGCATTTGAGTTCCACTATAATTTTTTTTTTCCATTTAAAGAAATTTTTAGTTAACTTAATTTTTTTATTATCTTAGTTTTGTGCTAAATGGCCATTTCTTGCATTTAACCTCTTTATACTAAATTGCAGCTAAAGAAATAAAGAAGGAAAAATGAGTATGATTATGTCAAAGTCAAACAGGTAAAAAAAATTCAAGTACATTTCTTTTTTGGTATTAAGTCATAAATTCATTCTCCTTTTGGTATCTATTATATAAGCGTAAATTTATTTTGATTTTCTATTTAACCGTTTTTCTACTTGGCCATTTTTTGCACTTAAAGTACATTTTCTTGATTGGTTGGTCTTTTAAAATTACATTATCCTACTTTAGTAGATCTTTAAAATACAATGACCCTTGGAATCCAAACTTATAAATACATGCTCTTAGCCTCAAAAACGCCACTTGAGTCATTCTTGGAGTTCATGGGTGTTTTTGGGTGCATGAAATTTTCTCTCAAGTTCTACCTTTGTCAATGATGTGTTGTGAGTTCATTTGAGGCTTCCACACTATTGGGTCTAAGCTCTTTAAGTCCAAATACACCAAGACTTCAAGCTCCATCAAAAGGTATGTTATCCTAACTAGTATCTTATATGGTTTATGTCAAATGTATGCTAGTTATAGGTTTAATGCCTTGGAAACCATTTGCATGTATAATTAGTGAAAAAATAGATCCAAGGTATTTAGGGTTGTATGTGCACCATAGGATGTTGTATTATACCAAAAACCCAACAGTGGTATCAGAGCCATGAGTTGTTTTCTATTATATTTGATGCAAATGTTTGATTTTCAAAGTTGAAAACAAAAAGAAAAAAACATGAAGTTTGTCAAATTTTAAGATAATTACTTGATTTTATGAAACTAATTATTTGTAAAGTTTGAGTCATTTTACTACAAGAGTTGAATTAGGTCAATTTATTAAAAAATAGAATGATATAATTATTTTATTTGTTTTAAAAGTTTGATCTAAATTTTTTAAGTAGTTACAAATTTTGTCATAAAATTTTGGAACTCAAAAGTCTTTTTTAAAAGTTATGATCCTAAGAGTTTTGAAACTTCCATAAGTTATTGATTATCAAAAGTTTTTTTTGTGTTACCTTTTTTTATGAGTTAATTTAGATTAATGAAAAAACTTTGTGTTAGTTGTTTTCAATCTAAATTAATCTATAAATTGATCATAAAATGTGTTTTTGTAACTTGTCCTCAAGTTATATTAAAAAACACATTTATGATTCTTAAAACTCATAAATAATGCCATAGGTTACAAAATGAAGAGTTTTTTTTATCATAAATAGTTTTTATGAACTCCATAACTTGTCCTCAAGTTATGGATGTTCAAGAGTCTCTTTATTTAAGTCTCTAAAACTTTAATTAAACTCATAAGTTATGAAAATCAAAGAGTTTTGAATAGTTTCAAAACTTGCCCTCAAGTTTTGGAATTTGTAAAGATTTACTTATGAATGCTTTAATTCCAAATCAAGCCCTAGAATTTTAAAAGTTTAAAATTCAACCCTTATACTATTATTATAATTTTAATTATATAGATATGTATAAGATAAAGTCAATCTTAACATTAGTAGGCCTTATTCACGAAGCCGGTCTATAAGGGGGGTATAAGGTTACTGCCTATAAAATAACAGTTTAATGGGTGTCCACTCTCATCCACCGCTTCCTTGACTGGTGAAGGGTCGTTAGCCGAACGGGTAGGATAAAGACTATAATTCTCCTTTCATTAAAAGTATAATGATAAATACTAAGTAACTAAACACTTATAAATTCCCAATCTTAGTTACTTAGGAAAATGTGAAATGGTGCTAACCCATGAAATTACACTTTGCACATTTGTTAAGTCGTTAGTGGAGCGTGTGTGGTTAACCGGCACACTAACATGGGACTGGCAATGCGTGGCGAAGGGTAACTTAAGTTTATCATATATTGGTGGAGTGTATGTGGTTAACCGACACATCAATTAGGTGATCAAGTTGAGGGTACCAAGTCAATTTGCATGGTTATTCACACATTGTTTGTGATTCTCGGCATCCCAGTCACAAACTTGAGAGGGCACAATCGAGATTCAAACATTCCATTGAAAGTTCAATGTATCTCAAAAGATCTAGGAGTTTCAAATCCAATTAAAACTTAATTATATTTCATTTTCATGGTGGAAATTGGTAAATCGTCATTTACCTACCTTCAACTATTTTATAGCTTGGATTACGTCATCCCTCTTCCGGTTATAAATAGGTTGTTGGATCCTAGCCTTAATATTTCATATTGGGTGTTATATTAAGGATTTTAAATCAACTAAACTTGAATTTCTCCCATTATAGATGTCTAGTTAAGACAACTATGGTCTTCTCAAATCTTTAGGAATAAGCTTTCCTATTGAACATGATATCCCACATGGCAATCAAGGTGAAAGATTAATCCCTTTGTTGTGCATTAATGGGACTGGAAATCATGCTTCACTTCCTCCACCTCCTCCAATTATTCTCCCTATCCCACAAGTTCAAATACTTGAAAAGTTCAAGGTCACTCAATCCCTATTGGCAAGCCGGGAGAGTCGGGTGTCAAAGTCTCAAGGTAGCTGGCTGTTGACTTGGTTCTTCAGTCACACCCTGATTATGGCAAGCTGGGAGAGTACTTGAGTATCTTGTTTTATGACTATCTTACTGATTATGAAACCATATCACAATTGATTCTCTAAGGACACCTTAGTGCATTTATTTGACTAAGGAGAGGAATCATGAATTGTTGAAATGGTTAAATCAAAAGATAAATCGTACTTCGTTCCAAAATCAAATCTTAGAGTCATACTTTAAGATTGTAACTTGAGTGACATAATCTTAAGAAAGGTTTAAAACACTTGTTAAATGTAGAGTAAAATGTTTTCTTACTCTAGTATATTTGAAATTGGTAAGTTGTGATGTTTTGGATAAGACAAAGACCAACTAAGACCAATTGTGAGAAGTGTTTAACTTGATAAGAATCCGCACTAACTCTTGAGTATTTGTTTTGTCAAGGAATGGTTCTTGACAAAAAGAATCTTATATGTCAAGAGGACAGTGAGAGTCTTAAAGATCTTGAATAGTTTCAAGAACTAATCAAGAGTAAACCTATTGTTAATCACTAGCACACAACTTGAGGTTTGTAACCTATTGTGTTGACATATTCTTGTGATTAAGGTTATGACAAAGTCACATGGATATGAACACTTACACTATAAAGAATCTAAGTTTCATAAGGTTTCTCTCCGATTCATGAAAATGATGGTGAGGAAACGCTTTCACTAAGTAGATTTTAAGTAGATGGAAATTGTGATCTTTGAATTCTCAAAGTCGTTAGTGGAGCGTGCGTGGTTAACCGACACACTAACATGGACTTATGAGAAATGACAAAGGTCTAAACATTTGAGACTATGATTACGTCATCCTTTTTCATACTTCTGAAATTGTTTAGACACACATGTGAGCTATCTAAGAAAAGGTGTATGATTTTGATAAAGTCTTGTCAAAGAAATCTGGTATTAGAAATCTGAACTTTAGTAAGAAAGTCAATAAAGTATTGACGTCGAGAAGTCCAGCTGTTTTCTGATACATGTCAAAGCTAGTGGGAGCATAAGTGTTATGCTAATAATCATCATGTTAGTGAGAGCATGATAATTATTATAAGTATTGCAAGTCAGCAATGTTAATTATAGAAAACAAAGTTTCAATTCTTCAAGTTGCAGGGGTTGGAAAAGTTGTTTTGCTATAATTAAGGGAGATGATATACTTTATTTCAATTCTAAAAGCTTAGATTGAGATTTTAATCATCTTTAGTCAAGGATATATATATATATATATATATATATATATATATATATATATATATATATATATATATATATATATAAATTTTATGTTGGAATGGTTCAACATAAGAAAATTCTATATATTGCATTCTCAAAATTCGATTATGATTACGACATCATTTCTCATAGTTAAATTTTGAGAACATGGCAAATAAAAAATTTATAGCATGAATCGTGTCCCATATGCTTCAGGTATATGATCAATTACATGTGTTATAATATTTATCCTTTCTAATTTTTCCAAATGCCTAGGGCATTAAGAAGGGAAAAGGTCTAGAATTGGCTATGACTAAAATGATTAAACAATTGTTGAGGAC